TTCTATATCAACAATCTGCTTAAATATCTAGAGACATTTACATGTGTATGTCTACAAATATGTTACTTCTATATCAACAATCTGCTTAAATATCTAGTTTTTTCAATGATCAATAAGCAAATTCTAAAGAAGCTCATACTTAAATCACTAAATATTGCAAATGCTTTTTTAAAAAAGCCTTTTTAACTGACTTATTGTTTGCCATTTCTAGTCTCATTTTCAAATATGCTAATTATAAATTTGTTTTGACTTTCTTTTTTTCTCCTTAAGAAAACACATTATAAAACTTCTGGTCTACCATTTCTAGCCACTTGATTTTGAAGATATTAATCAGAGATATGGTTTCAACATAACCATTCAAGTCAGTGATGATGGTGGCCAGTCATCAGACCCACGTCACATTGATCGAGCACAAATTCAGATACGCATTCGAGATATCAATGACAATCCACCAAAGTTTTTAAAAGCCAATATCCACGAAGTAGTTCCAGAAGATGCTGAAATTAATAAGAGTGTGACAAAGTTTACAGCTATAGACCCTGAAAATGGAGGCACATCCACAGTTAGGTAAGATAAATTAATAATGGTGTTATCTTGTGGTTGAAATTACAACTTTTGTTTTATTCCACTCTCACAGAAATGTAAAAGTGTATCATAATGTTATGTACATGCTGGGTACAATATGAAAATACTTGTAAACTATCGACAACATTCAATGGTTTATTTTTAATCTCTCTATTATTTTAAATGAAAGTAATATTTATAAGAGTATTTCTGGTATTAAAATTAATTTTTTAATCTATATAAAGTTTGAAAGTTTTATTTCTTTTGTAGTTATGCTATTGAGCGAGCTTCAGATAGAAAAAGACAGTTTAGTATTGACCAGAAAGGTGAAGTAAGAGTACAGAGACAGTTGGATCGGGAAGATATCCCCCGATATGAAATTAAAGTTTTGGCCATAGATGATGGTAAGTCATTACAGAGTTTCTCATGTGAAGCTACATCGTATGTTATTGTAGGAAAATCACTTTTAAGAAGGTGACCTTTGTAAAGAACTCTTTACTTACCACATATTCAAGAAAAATTAATAATAACCATGCAAACAAAATGTAAAATTCATTTTTATGACTTGATAAATGTAAGGGTGATTAATATAATACAGTTGTCAAAGGAAAATAAAGTGTGCAATAGTCCTTTATAATAATAAAATAAATAGTTGTCTTTTTTTCTTATTTTGGAATAAGTACCAGTATGTTTTTTTTTTTGAGAGATGAGTACCTTATTTCATTCTTGACTCACTCTAGTATAAGTCTCAATTATGCAATTTTTAGTGGTTTCAGTTGTGAACTTTTTCTATAACTATGTGTACAGCAGTAACTTTAGAGGCTTGTCTGATTTTGAAATTTTAATTAGAGTGACAGGATAAGTCCATCTGATATGAAATATCATTTAAAGTGTAAAATAATGCAGCTAGTGAGTTTCAGTAGCAGACATACTAAAAAATGGACACTGTTAAACAAAAAAAAGTTCAAGTGTTTTTAAAAGATGCAAGTTTTTGTGAGAAGAAAATAGCTAAAATGCTTTTATCTGTAAAAAACACGTTTTAAATATAGCAATGTCTTATCAGCATTTAAATTTTATTTCATTGGTAGGTTCCCTTACCTATAACTTAAAAAATTATGCTCTCAACAGTAAAATGTTTTCACAGAAGATGAGTTTGCTTTTTTTTTCAATTATGCTGTTCTCATTTACTGGACTATAATAAACTTGTGCATGGATGAAGCATACTTTTTTTAAATTTCACATGGCCTTCAACAGTTTTGTTTCAGTTTGATTTAATATATTCAGCACAAAAGATGAAGTCCCTTTAACCATCTGTGAAACTCTGAAACATAAGCCATGCATATTCTAAATTAAATATTTAAAACTAAGTAGAACTGAAAATTGTTTTTATTCATTTTATCCAAATATGTTGACTTTAGTGATTTTTGACTCTTACGTACTTGTAATCAGAGCCATATGATTTGGGTTTCTTTAGTTCAGGTTTTGTAGTCATAAACAACCCTAGTCTCTAACATCTCCAACACTCGAATTTGTGCAAAAAAAAACATTTTTATTGTATAGTTACATGATTTTCTAGAAAGATCTAACAGTTTTTAGATAACTATATTTATTTGATATGTGACACCTTAATGTCACTGAACTATGACACTTGATTTATATGACTAGTATCATAAAGTGTCTTAGTTTGATATTTGATACCTCTATGATGTCACTGAACTAACACATTTATATGACTATGTAAACTGTATTAGTTTTCTATACCTGATGTAGGAACTTAATACATTTAACATTAGTCGTATAATGTGATATTTTAATGAACATATTCAGTATCTTGTATGCTTTATAAATGCATAAATAGACAATTGCTATGGGGTTTAATAGGTTTTTTTCAAGTGTTTATATTAAGTCAGACTAAAATAACCTAGCTAGTATCAGACATTTCATTTGGCATTAAACATGTTTAATTTTGTTGTGATTGTGTGGGTTTGCACAAAACAATTCATCGCTGTTTAAATTTGTATAATTATCTTATTAACAACTTCAGTGTGATTGTTTGTGTTTTCAAAGGAATACCTGCTCTCACTGCTACTGCCACTTTGACTGTGACTGTAGATGATGTGAATGACAATGCTCCAAGGTTTCTTAGAAATTATCGTCCAGTTGTCTATGAAAATAAACCACCACAAAAGGTTGTAGAAATTCGAGCAACAGATGATGATGATAGGTCAAAAAATAATGGCCCTCCTTTTACGTTTCGCATGGACTTCAATGCACCTCCTTCAATAAAAAGTTTCTTTGAAGTTGAAAATGATGCTGGTAGGTAAAAAAGATAAAAAAATATATCTTCTTTAAGCATTGCTTGATTTTAAAAACATTGTCATCTGATTCTATTCTGGGAAAAAATAAGAATATTTTTTGCCACATTCTGACAGTTTCTGTACACAGAGATAATTATATTTCACTTGCAACATGAATATTGAAAATATTGTAATGTATTCTACATTAGTATTCATGATGATAACTTAATTCTATCTGGATGTTTTAATTAAGACAAATAAAATAACATTTTTAGAATAAATTTCTTGAACAAGCACACTTAATAAAATTCTGTTAGATAGTTTTTAACTACTTTTGAATGTGAGGTACAGAATAGAGCCATCTCATATTTAACAGTATTTGATATCCAAATAATGAGGTACCTAAGTATCACAAAAAGTTTTTTTGTAAATATCCTATAAATTCATCTTAAAGCATATCACGTACTGTTATTGTGTTGATAATATGACAAATGATACAACAGCCCATTCAAGAAGCTTGAAGTACCTGAGATTAATGAATAAAAGCTCTAAACATAAGATTAAATATGTAAACAAATAAAGAATCTTGAAATTTTCTGGTCACAAATCTATTCAGGTTTACCAAATATTAACAAATTATTAATAAAAGTTCATTAACCACTTCCGTATTAGGTTTTTGTTTGGAAATGACTTCAAAAAGGTAGATTTTTATTTTGCTTTTTTTTTGATAGCCCAATGTAATACATGATAACAAGTGAACAAATCCAGGCAAATAATTAAGAATATGGTGAGAAATGGTTTGCACAAATTAATTCAGGCCAATATATTTTGAAGCATAGAGAGTGCCCAAGTTATCTATGACAAATCATGGAAGGGCTTAAGAAGAAAACTAAGAATAGTTATTTTTTAAAGACTACAATAAGTATATATTTATTTTGTGTTGTTTTTTTATAAATCAAACAAAGTGGACATTTTTGACTTACTTTTCTTTTAAGTAAGAAAGACTGGGAACAACAAATAAATGAAATATACCATTATAATAAGTTATTTACTTTTAGTAAATCAGTAAATGCAAAAAAATATACTTAACTTTCCACTAGATTATGTTATTCTGAATGGCATGTGCTTTATTGTTGACATCAGTAGACTGATTATCTAAATTTCATATGCAATAACATATACAAGTGTACTTGAATTTAAGAGAGATGAGGGGGATATTTAGAAATATGCAACAATATTCTTGTATATTTATTGATTTTTGGCTATTACTGGTTTAACATATTTTGTCTCACCAAAGTTCAGGCTTTTATCTTTAATGAGAAGTTTTGCTTAACATAAGTCATGTAAATGCTTTGATAAGGCCAGGTGCTTGGCAAAATATATAAAATTTTAATATTTTCACTTCGTTTCATCAAAATTTAATAAACTGTTTTAATCAGCTTTGCTAATGCTTTGTGTATTATAGAACTTTTAATTGTAGGATAATAATCCCAGTGCTAGAATCATGTGATTTATGTGTGTAAAGCTACTTTAATAAACAATCTTATTTCTTTGTATGAAGTTGAATTTAAATTGATAACTTATATACAAATGTAATAAACCAATACACAAACTAGAGCGGCACTCTATAGAGCGCATACTTCTGCCACTTAGCATTGATCATATTCAATTTTCCAAAAATACGAAAATGTGTCTGTATGTCCATTGTTATCAATGGACATGGATCATTTTTGGCAGGACAATGAGGAATAATATTTTACATATATCTACCAAGTTTCCTCAAAATCTGATCATTTTTGACTGAGTTATAGAGCAAAAATAGTGGGAAAAATCAATCCCCATGTTAACAGATAGGGACTTTTTTGATTTTCGTGACCTTAACCCTTGACTCTTCATAAACTAATCACTTCTAAGTTGTATCATAGTCCAAATATATACCAACTTTCGTCCAACTCCATTCAGCCATTTTCGAGAAATTTTGCTGCCAAACAAATATACATGGGGGTGAAAACATAACCTCTGTCCACCTTCAGTGGTGAAGGTAACTATCAATACCAAAAACACATGTGTACTTTGTTGAGGCTCTTTGCAGTATTTCTAACACATTTATAATTTCTTCTTTTTTTGCCACATGTACTCAATTAGTTGAAAGGTTGACTTTATACAGGGTTGAATACATTATATTAAAATAATTTTGAATATGCCAGTGAGCAAGTCATATAACAACCACAGTCGATATAACTTTGTGGTGGAATGAAATGTATCAGGACTATTATTTGACATTTTTTGCTGTTTCATAGGTAGTATGATGCCATCAAAAATTTATCATTTTTGGGAAGGAATGTAATATTCAGATTATAAAGATGTCTTCATGCTGGAGATTGAGAAATTACAAAATGGGGATATCCGTTGTACTTAATGGCATTGCACAACAAAGGAATATGAATCAACTTGGGAATCAGGACCATTCAGAAAGAGAACTGCAAAAAGTCTTATTTCAGCCATACTAAGCAAAGTGTGGCATCTTGTAATAGGTGAGAATTCACAAACACAAAAGGTCAGTGGCAAAAGCTGTCCACATACCACAGGCAACAGTTTGCAGCATAATCAAGAAGGTTCTCCATCTGGAAGTGAGACCACTAGCTGTTTTCATAGCTAAGAAAAATGTTGTTCATTAACTTTGGATTGAATAGGGCTTCAGAAAAACATGCACACATACACCTAAAACATTCTTTAGATTTCAATGGAAGTTATTTGCCTAAATCATTGACAACATAATTATTTTTTCCCCTTACAGTGTTTTTAACTAGTTCTACATGTTTTAAAATTTCATCATACTTTGGCTGCATTTGTTTATTCTTCATGCAGCTTAAAAGGAAACTAGTTTTTGTCTCCTTCAGTGATGTTAAATATAATTTTTTTCTTAATAATAAAGAAATTTTAATCAGGATAATTAATGTTATTTTTCTAATCCATTTGAATTACTTTGGTATTACTGCATCAGTTTGTTTGTTTAATGAATTTTGCATAAAGCTGCTTAAGGGCTATCTGTGCTGGTTATCCCAACTCTTTGGCTACTCTTTAATAATGAAGAGTGGGATTGACCATTACATTCTAACACCCTCATGACTGAAAGGGTGAACATGTTCAGTGGTGGGATTCAAATCCATGACCCACAGATCGCAAGTCAAGTACCCTAACTACCAGGTCATGCCAGGCTCTTACTGTGTGAGGAAGACCTTCATGTGAATTCTGGTGGTTCTTTACATTATCACTATGTCAGTAAGATCATGTACATTCAGATGGTGCTTCTCTACAGTATTGATTGTATCAGGAAGATCTTCATGTACATTCAAGTTTTGCTGCTCTACATTATTATTATATCAAGAAAATCTTCATGTACATTCAGGTGGTGCTTCTCTACATTATTATTATATCCAGAAAATCTTCATGTACATTCAGATGGTGCTTCTCTACATTATTATTATATCCAGAAAATCTTCATGTACATTCAGGTGGTGCTTCTCTACATTATTATTATATCCAGAAAATCTTCATGTACAATCAGGTGGTGCTTCTCTACATTATTATTATATCCAGAAAATCTTCATGCACATTCAGATGGTGCTTCTCTACATTATTATTATATCAAGAAAATCTTCATGTACATTCAGGTGGTGCTTCTCTACGTTATCATTATATCAAGAAAATTTTCTTGTACGTTCAGGTGATGCTTCTCTACATTTTATAATTATTGTTCATTTATGATCTAAGTATGTTTATGTTTTTATGATTCTGCTTCTCTTTGATTGCCAGTCTTATTCAGTCATCTTTAGATAGTTTTGTTCTTATGTTGTTGTTTTTTTACAGATGGTGCTGATGGAGATGGTATGGCAATTGTAAGATCGAAAGTAGAGTTTGATCGAGAAGAGAAGAAGGAATACCATGTGCCTATTTTGATAAAGGATAGTGGGGCTATATCAATGACTGGTACCAGCACATTAACTGTGATAATTGGTGATGAAAATGACAATCTTATGCTTCCAGATCATAAAGACATTTATATATATACATTTAAAGGTTTGTTTCAATTCACAGAAAACAATAGATCTTTATATTTGGGCTACAGTTTATGAAAATTATCATGACCCATTTATTATCTGCCTTCCATCACTTTTAACACTTTAAATGCTTTTATTTTATTCTAGAACATTCATCATATTTTTTTCTGGTCAAATTTTGAAAAGGCTTTGTCTAAAGCTTAATATTTGTTCTCAAAATTTTACATATATTTAAAAAAAAAGTTCAAAAAAAAAGGAAAGAAACCACTGTATGTGACAAAACAAAAGGTAAAATTATAAATGATATCTCACAATGCATTTTATGAACAAAGTTCTCTCAAAGATATACTGTGTCTTAATGACTGCAACAGTTATTAAATTATTATAAACAACTGAAAGTATAAAAAGTTGATTAATATGTTTCAAAATAACCCTTTAAAATATTTAACCTTTCTGAACTTAGGGTTACATTTTATATCACATGGCATGTTCAGTATGTTTGTGAAAAAAACTAGGTTCCTTTCAAAATAGACTAATATATTTCAATCATCATGAATGTTTTGTAATTCTGTTAGGACCAAGTATATTTTATAAGCATCTTACTAATATAGACTATATCATTCTGTTAAGAGAATCTATATAGGAATTAATTAGTATCAGTAATGTTGGTTGTTTTCTGAAACCCCACTGTATAATATCTATTTGTTGTATTGAACATACCATTAACAATGAGAGTACCTAATTGATGACTCAGTGCAATCTGTTCATTATAAATATTAGTTTTCTGGTTTAGTGATTTGTAATATTTAGTATTTCTGATCAGTTTATCATATCTGATTGTCTTATGTAAAGTATAGAATATTTTACCTGTTATCTTTATATAACTTTTAATTGGAAGCTCTAATCTTCATCAATGTCTCTTTTTATTAAGCCACTAAAACTTTGCAAATGATGGAAATACACTAGTATAGCTCTTGATATTCTTTTAGGACAAGCTTCCAGCACTCCGATTGGACGAGTACACGTAACTGACTTGGATGACTGGGACCTTCCTGATAAAGTCTTTGCTTGGGACAATAATGTACCACATCCAATCTTTGAGTTGGATCCAGAAACTGGAATGCTGACAATGAAAGAAGTAACATCTGGGGGCAAATATTCTCTGTCCTTTGATATATTTGATCGTCAGCACACAAAATCTGTGAGAGCAACAGTAGATGTTACTGTACAAGAAATTCCAGAAGAAGCTATCTACAATTCTGGATCCATCAGGATCCTTGGTGAGTATATATGTTTATTAGTTATGATATAAATTATATAAGTTGGATGTGAATATAAAAGAATCTAAGTAATCAGAAAACAAAGCTTTAATGTTTTTTGTATAGAAATAGCTTTTTACATTGGTTATTAAAACTTTAAATTTATTTCAAATAAGTTCTTTTTATTATTGTCTTCTGTAATTTAATACATTTCTTTTTAAATAGTTTTAAATTTTAAAATTATATTGTCTTTGTATCATAAAAGTTGGTCTAACTGATAGACCAATTCAGTTTTTCACATACAAATGTTTTTTTGCACTTAAAGTCTTTTTCTTTGAATATAATTGCATTCAGATATTGTCATGTAAAAGAAATGTTTTCTGAATTACTGTTAAACCCTACAGAGAGCATACACAAAAACTACATATAGCTTTTACAGTGTGTTTTAATTCTCAAAAACTGATATAACCCTGACTTTAGGAACTTCTGCTGAAGACTTTGTGCGTGTTCTTGATTGGAAGAGCCAAGCTGTGAAGAAAAGCAAGTTTGACAAGTTCAGAGATACTCTGGCAAGAGTATTAAAAATTGATCATAAAAACATCAATATTTTTACTGTGTATCCAAAACAAGAAGAACCACCCATAGCTGACATTAGGTTTGCTGCACATGGCTCTCCTTATTACAAAGCTAGCATGTTAAATGGAGCGGTGGACTTAAACCGAAAACTGGTAACCTGAACTTTTGAATATACTATGTGAAAATCCTTTGTAAATGTATGGTAGCTGTTTGAAACACGTTTAAACTTTTCTCTTCAATCAAATATCAAATTTTAATTTTTCCGTAACAAAATAACAAAAATGTTTATATGTTTGAAGTTTTCTTTCAACTCTGTGATAACATTTGTATTTGATATGTTTATATTGCTCATGACAATATATGTTTTGATAACTAAATGAATTAATTTAAAAACAGAATTAATTAATTAAAATAATTTTGCAGGTTCTGTGTAATACATATGCTTTGTACTATATAATATAATATTAGCATATCTTTGTGATTTGAAATATATGAACAGGATTATATTTTACTTAGTTTTTTTTAATTCTTATTATGACTAAAGTAAGACTGCCTTTTATAATATGTAATTATGTCACTGATTTTCAGATTGAACAGTCAGTGGGAATCAACATCATCATGGTAGGAATTGATGAATGTTTGTATGAAAGTGTCAATTGTGAAGGAAGCTGCACCAACAGACTTGTAATTGAAAATAACCCTATTGTTATTAATGCTAACAAGACTGCATTTGTTGGAATCAAAAGTTGGGTGGAACCTCAATGCATGTGTGGAGCACGGGAGTTCTCCGAACCAGAGACGTGTGGGAAATTTCCTCCAACATGCCTCAATGGTGGAAGATGTCAAATCATTGGGAGTGGCATAAAGTAAATAATTCTGATACTTTAATTCTTATTTTGAATACATCATTTGTTTAAGTAACATTAAAAAATTAATATGCACCAGAAAAATATGGGTTATGTATGATGAGAAAAACAAATTACTATTTGCAACCAAGAGCAATATATAGATTTATTTTTAATACTTTGTTTATTTATTAACATTTGTGATAAATGTTTTCCTTTATACACTTGATAAACTTATATTTCAGGTATAAATCTAACCTTACTGTAGAAAAGCTATCTGATATGATACACAAGAAGAGTTTTTTATTTATTTTTGTAGATACTCAATAACATGTAATGGTAGCATAAAAAGTATTGATAATTTTTAGTTTTCTCATTAAGACCATAAAGTAAGTAAATATAAAAGTAACTATCAAAATATATATATTTAATGCATTTTTAAGACTGTTTTAAACTAAAAACATTTTGTTCAGCTACAAAAAACAAAAATTAGTATGTTTTGAAGTCATTTAAAAAGAGATATTTATTAACCCATAAACTTTCCAGCTCTTTAATAAAAACTGATACTACAGCCTGTAACGTTTCTTTCTTCATTAAAAATTCACAGATGTGTCAAAGATGATCTATTTGTAGGAAATGCTATGATAACATCTAATGAAGTTGTATGTGATCTAAATATTTGATCTATTACATATTAAAAGTAGTAACTGATCACACAGTTGTTCAGGTGAAACAAAAATGAGTTAACAGATTCCTTCCTGAAAAAAAACTCCCATTTTTAACCCTGTTGCTTAACTGATTAATTTTGTGGAGATGACTAAAGACTGAAATATATTAGGTCAAGATTACAAAGTGTATGAAAAAATAAAGTATTGGTATTTGAGTCATTATGAGATATGTTTTCAAATGATCCCTTGCATTTTAAGTGATTTGAGGGATAGTGACCATTACATAGATAAGCTTTAAGTAGTGGAGGATGGGGGAGCATTGAATAAGTTCTTAGTTGTTTAATTATATCAGTAGGTTTACACCATAGCTGTAAGCACATTTTTTAAAAATGAAACACAAGAGAATAATGCAAACAGAACTACATCAGTAAATTATTTACAGTTATGATTGTGGTGTATAGTGTGATATTTATTGTTTAGTGTAAGCTGATACTTTTTTATTGCACATTAATATAAAATTTAATCAAACAAATAGACTTGATGAGAAACAAGTACCAGGGATATACATGCATACCTGTCTCTGATATGAATAATTTTTTAAAAAATGTTTCGAATGTGAACTTCATTCTTGTGGACTCCTTTCATCTTTCTTGTTGGGTCTTAAGACAATGATTCTGGGTTCCATGCTGTGTCCATCATTGGTTCTGAAGTCCAGTACATTGTATTAAGACCAGACAAAAAAGAAGAAAGAAACCAGTGGAAATTATTGTTCACACATTAAATACACTGGCTAAACCTGCCTTGAAAGGAAGATTTAAATGTTTTATTATCATTTGCCATCATAGATGTACTTGCACAAAAGGATTCACGGGACCACAGTGTCAACAGACGACTCGTTTCTTTAATGGAAATGGATGGGCATGGTTCCCTCCACTGGAGCAATGTGAAAATTCTCACTTCAGTATGGAGTTCATGACTAAAGCAGAACATGGATTGCTACTGTACAATGGACCTATCTCTGAACCTGATAATGGAGAGGAAGGTGTGCAAGATTTTATATCACTGGAACTCAGGAATGGAAGACCAAGATTACTCATTGACTTTGGTTCTGGCACAGCAGAAGTAATTGTTAATACTAAGGAATCTTTAAGTGACGGATTTTGGCACCAGCTAGATATATTTTGGGACAGAGAGGTATTTTTTATTTCACACATTTTTTTAAGATAGATAGACGTATTGATAAAAGAAAGTAAAAAATATTCCAAGGGATTGTTAATTTACAGAATGTAATACACTAAGATCTGCTGGTTATATCCAAGTTTTGTTTTACTGTTTATTTTTGAAAGTTTTCATAATAGTTAATTATACTTTTTTCAAGCAGAAAAATATAGTTACGTTTTACCTTGAGTGAAAGTTAAGGCCGTAAAATTTGGTGAGGGGGAAGGGTTTTCTTTTAACCTAAATTGTCATTCTTCCTGAAATTAGCATGGTCTCTTACAATTTTTAATTGATGTTTCAACTGTGTTTAATTAATAAATGTTTATCTCTTTAATGTGGAATGCACAATTATCATCTAATATCAATGAAGCTTTTAGATTTCCTTGTAATATTTTCTATACAACTTATTCATTCCTATTCACTGTTTGTAACCTAAATAACATTAGGTAAGTTTTATACTGCAACTTAGATTATACTAAACAATACCCATATTCAATAAAATCATACATTTCCATAACTGATGTTCACTGTGATGGACCAGTTTGTGTCCATTATAAGTAAAACAGTGAAATTAACAAAAATAATGGATACTTGTTACGAAGTAAAACATTTTTTTAATTTATTTGTATCTGTAAACATTTAATTACAAAATCCATCAACATATAACAGTAATTTATTTCTGCCATCAAACAGTGTTGAAGATAAAATTTAATGCTAGGAAGGAAAAACTATTATAAACAGTTTTTACTGCTATTACTTATGAAACGTGATGAACATTGTGAGTTGCTTTAATTTTTGATTCTATATTGCATTTTGATAATTACCATTTTTAATATTTTATACTGTGGGTCTCATGGTGCTTTTTGTGTTGCTAAACTGAATATATACATAACTTTTTTTTTCTTTTTCTTGATTTTAGAGTGAATAACTTACATACCTCAAAACATATCATTAAATAATTTTTTTTATATTTCTAATTTTTAATATATACATATGTGTATATGTGTACATAAGATGACCATTGCAAAATCAATAAATAGAAAAAAAATAATTATGTGGTATTTTGAAACCTTTACAGTAATTTTGACTTAGTACATCCCAGATTTAAGAATATTCATTTATATGTAAACCCTTACAATGATACTTACGAAACCTTCATTAATTTTACAGAAGTTATACAATAAACCATTGTAACATATATGAGTTAAAATGTTTGCTGACTTTTATTTTTTTTTAGAATGTGCGTTTAATGGTAGATCACTGTGTTGACTCTGACCATCAAAACACTGACCCGCCCACCTCAGATAGGTCCAGATGTGAAGGGAAAAAAACAATACCCCCATTTAATGAATTTCTCAATGTGAATGGTCCACTGCAACTTGGAGGAGTCCACCATAAAATATTGAATTTTAACTGGAACAAACAACACATGCGCACTGGATTTGAAGGATGTATTAGGAATGTTATTCATAATAGTCTGGTAAGCAAAACATCCACCTGGATGAACAGTTTAATTGTGTTATGATTATTTTCTAGTATCACTTTCTTGAGGCTTAACATAGGTTAGTCCCCTGGTGGTGAGCAGTTAGTTTACAGATCAGTTTCATTGTGCTATGATTATTATTCTAATATCAGTTTCTTAAGTTTTGGAATTAAGTTAGTCGCCTGGTGGGTGAGTAGTAAGTTTACAGTTTTATACTCAAAAAATCTAGGGCTCAATTTCCAGCATTGGACAGAGTGCAGATAGCCTGTTGTGTAGCTTTGCATAAAGAAAACACCATCAACAAATTAAGCTAATAAACACATAGTTTAGATTAAAATATCCCATACTTCCTGGTTGTTGTATTAAATATTTTCACTTTGGTCAAATAGGTATTCTATATGAGCAACATAAGCTATAAGTTATCCACCAGAGATCACAAACTACCAACAAATTATAAATAACAGACTTAAATTACTCTTAAAAAATACTTAAAATATATATGGCTTTTGCAATACCCCACAAAGGTGGCTAAACAAAGCTCAGATATATTTATGTAAATATACTGCATATAGTTATGTTATGAAAACGTGGTTAGCTGTATAATTCATATCAATTTAGGATTTGTATACAATAAAAAGTATTTCAAACTGATTGATGCTGTTTGGATTAAGCTCTGTATCTTTTTTTTTCTTTTACTGGAAATAATGTTTACATACAAGCTTTCAAGTAAGTTCAAAATCAAATCCTTAATTGTTATTTGTAATAATTGTATCTAATAATTAATTTTTCAAAGCATTGCATTTGAAAGCTATCTTGCAAGTTCCACCACAGATAAAAATGTTAATGCAACAAGTCAAAGTTATTAAATATAGAATACTAACAAATTATAATCAGGATTTCTAGAAACTGTCTTTATATGATAAATAGCTAGTTATTCACTAAAAGACAAATCAAAAGCTGTAGATGTGTTGATAATGTACAGTTTTATTGGATTAACAAGTGATAAGTAGGATTTCAATAAACTGTCTATTTATGATAAATAGCAAGTTATTCACTAAGAAGAGAAATTAAAAGCCGTAGATGTGTTGATAACAGTGTTCCCTCTAAGCTGCGTGACTGCACGGCTGAACAACAACCAATCAAGTGCTGCGCACTTCATTATTCCAGCCTCGTACACCCTCAGTAATGGTAAGGAGTCTCAACACGTTAACAGCCTTAGTGACCCTGGCAGTCAATAGGCCTAAAGCCTAAATAACCAACTGGTAGCATTACAAAGCAGCCTAATGATCCAATAGGCTGAATGGTCTAAAAATACACCCCCCCCTAAAAAAAAAAAAATTAGGTAGCGCACATTGCATTTTGCCTTGATACTGGTGCACATGAAAAAATTAATTCTGCACATGAATTGAAAAAAATAGAGGGAACATTGGTTGATAATGTATTGTTTTAATGAATTAACAAGTAATAATCAGGAATTCTAGAAACTGTCTCTTTATGATAAATAGCAAGTTATTCATTGGGAAAACAAGTTAAAAGCCGTAGATGCATTGATAATGTATTGTTTTATTGAATTAATGAGTGATAATTAGGATTTCTAGAAACTGCCGCTTTATGATAAATAGCAAGTTATTCACTAAGAAGACAAATTAAAAGGCATAAATGTATTGTTTTATTGGATTAATGAGTGATAATTAGGATTTCTAGAAACTGCCACTTTATGATAAATAGCAAGTTATTCACTAAGAAGACAAATTAAGAGGCATAAATGTATTGTTTTATTGGATTAGCGAGTGATAATTAGGATTTCAAGAAACTGTTTCTTTATGATAAATAGCAAGTTGTTCATTAAGAAGACCAACTTAAAGCCACATATGTGTTGAGAATGTATTGTTTTATTCAAGCCTCAGACCTACAAGAATCTGATCATTTTTGTGATTGTTTTTCTAGTTGTATGATCTGGCATCACCTGGAAGTTCAGCTGGCAGTCAGGTTGGATGTCCACCAAGTGATAGAAAATGCTTTGATAATAATATTACATCGAATTGTGAAAATGGATATTGTGAAGCATCATATCATATGGCTGTTTGTGTTTGTCACCCAGGCTGGCAGGGTCCTCAGTGTGATAAGCGTAAGTATCAGTCTGCCAACCTAGCTGACACTGTTTTGCTTTTTTAGAAGATGCATGTGTGTCTATAACACAGGCTGGGTCCTTTTTCAGTACAGAAGAGATCATTTTAGATATCTCACCCTTACTAATTTGAAATATTTCTATGATAAAGATAATTATGTCAGCCAGTCATAGTGGCCTATTAATATAATAAAAATAAGTATGTATGTATGGGTCATTGAAACTGCTATGGTTCTTCATGTACTAAAAGCAAGTAGATGTGTGAATTTGGCTGGTTTTGATACTAGTATGATACACATAATAAAGTGTAATATATTTTCTCTTTATTGTTGCTTTCATTTACAGTATTGATTAGACTGTTTAATATATCTAATTTCATTAATTTACTTTATTATAGAGATTGTTTTTGTATTGTTAGCTTTATATATGTATTTTGGACTAACCCAAATTATCCTAAGCTTGCTGAACCTTGTAAGATGTTATTGGGATTGTGGCCAAAAACATAATTAACAATGAGGGTACCCAAGTGATGAAACAATGCATTCTAATCTTTGTAAGTGGGAGCTCAAGAAAGGTCTACTTAATTAGCTATACTTATTACCAGTTTTAATTTTAGTTTCACTTTAAGTAGGTAGCTTGCTCAGTTTGGAAGTTAACATTAATCCTAATTAACAGTGTTTAGTGTGATTATTGTAAGTCTCACTATTATTCTTACTGAAGTATGTTAGATTATTTTGTTCATTATAATTCATAATTATCACTTCTTTGAAATTTTGATACTGAGGCAAATGTGTTCCAGACAGTTATGGTGATGTGTAAAAAAACAACTGCTTATAAGACACATAGTTGATGCTTTGTAATAAAGTTTTGTCCTCCATATTTCTTAGGATATAGTAATGTTTACAGTATTTTTATCTCTTCCAGCAACTCAATCTAAAATGTTTCAAAAAAGAAGCTATATCAAGTATGCCCTTTCCTTCACACCTGACTCCTATAAGACAGACGTTCAACTACAGTTTCGAACTCGACAGAAACATGGTGAGCTATTCAGAGCTACCAGTAAACATGGTCGTGAGTACTTTATCTTGGAAGTAAGTATGATGGTTTAGGTTTCAATGACTCTGTGCTAATATATTTCTCAGTTCTATTCAGAACATTGCAAGCTATCTAGAATTATAACAAACATGATCGAAAGCTTCTTTTTTTTTCTTTAATTACACTTACCATATGTATCCATGGGCATTGTGATCAGCAAAATGGGACAAGGGGTGCATATACCCCCCTGGAATTTCACAAGAAAATTTACTTGAATGATTTATTTTTAAAAATGTATTAGGAACTAATAATATTTAATAATAGTCAGTCAGAGCATTGCATTCAAACTTCAAGTCAACGACCTATGCTCTTTCACCCACCTGAAATAAATTCTGCAGCTGCCCATACATAGAGCGTCAAGTTTTTTTTACTTAACCATATGTTTTAACACTTTCTGACTTACTGCAGATAAAAGTTGTAATACTTTCTGTCTTACTACAGATAAATGTTTTAACACTTTCTAACTTACTGCAGATAAAAGTTTTAACACTTTTTGACTTACTACAGATAAAAGTTTTAATATTTTCTGTCTTATCACAGATAAAAGTTTTAACACTTTCTGTCTTACTACAGATAAAAATTTTAATACTTTCTGTCTTACTAGAGATAAAATTTTAATACTTTCTGTCTTACTAGAGATAAAAGTTTAATACTTTCTGTCTTACTACAGATAAAAGTTTTAACACTTTCTGACTTACTACTGATAAAAGTTTCAATACTTTTTGTCTTACTAGAGATAAAAGTTTAATGCTTTCTGTCTTACTACAGATAAAAGATAAAAAACTGAGGCTTCGATTTAACCTGAATCCTCACAGAACAACGGATGAAAAAGAATTATGGCTGCCTCACGTTATGGTCAATGATGGTCAGTGGCACTCAGTAAAAGTTTTGAGACATGGCAGTACTGCTAGTATCACACTCGATGGGGGAGGTGGCCGTCGTTACAATGAACTATTAGATTATCATAAACAACATCAAGAAATGGAAATTGAAAAGCAGAATGTGGTTGCTGGTGGTGAAGTTCAGTATGTTGGTCCAGGAGTTACATTAGTGGACAGTGACTTTGAGGAAGGTATGTTTTTTGTATTTTTTGTTCTGTTTTGCTGATGATAGAAAAAATATTTACTGAAAAAGAGTTTTTTCAAATGTCACAGAAATCATAGTGTTTTTCAACCCAATATATAATTAATATTAAAATATTAAGCCAGTTGCATTCTTTTGCAAAATAAGCATTTCTAAAGTATTTCTGTGTGCTTATAGTATATACATATATATATAGTTTTAAAATATCCAACAATCTACTATGTTCTAATTGATTTTAAGAATAAAACATTGATGCCTTAGAAGTAGATAAGATCAGTTTAGTCCTTGCTTTAATAAATAGACATAACATTAGGATTCAACGTATTTAGTAACAACATAAAACACTTGTGGAAAATAATGGATTCTTCTTTTTATAAACCCCTATCAATCAAACATATTTTACTTAGAAAGGATATGCACGCATGCATTTGATTTTCAAAAAATGTGTTTCTAATATTTTTAGATCCAATTTATGTGAATCTAGAATTTAGTGTTAACTTCAGTTTATGATCAGTCATAAACATTTTGTGCAAATATATAGGTCCATCCAGTATGAATCTTAAATTCTGTGTTACTTCAATCCGTATTCATTCATTGATAGTATTAAATGTAACTCTTAAAGTCAATGTTACATTATTCTGACCTCTATAGGCACAATTTTGTATCTTGAGTATGTAAATATTGTCCTTAGTTTTGATATCAAAAATGTTTCCTTACAAATTTTTTGGACATACTTTTCAATGATGCTTTTAATGTATTGATTTAGTTATTTCTAGTTTGTGTAAAAAAGCTGTACAAGCCATTTTTTTAGTTTTAATCATACAGTGTGATTACATTTTTTCAGCAAAATTAAGATTTTGTGATTAACAGAAGAAGAATATTCATTTACCCCTATTTGTCTTGTATTGTCTAGGTTGTATCAGTGATATTCGATTAGACAAACGTTTCCTACCAATGGAAAATGGCTCTGAGAATGCAGCAGTAATAGAGTGGAATAACTTGATCCAAGGATGTCCATCTAACTACCCCTGTAAAGGAGTTATCTGTCCACCTCCTTTTTTTGCAAGGATATGTGGCTTCTTCATGAATGCAGGTACAGTATTTCTTCAAATCCCTTGATATTCATATGTAGAGTTTATATACCTGTGTATGAAAGTATTTTGGTTTCATTAAGTGTGAATATGTATTCGTGAAAAGTGCATTTTATGAACATCCACACTGTGTTACTTTTATGTGAAGTTTATTATAATTAAGATAACATGAAATTATACTTTTTTATTTTGCTGTTTTTTCAAGAGTTCGGTTAGACTCAGTTATGGCAGTTTCCACACAACCTAGACAATTGCTTTAAAGTTAAGTACTCAATAATTAAAATATTAATTTTCCTACCAATCACTAGTTTGTTTTCACAAAATTGTAATGTCTTTGTGGATAAAATTCATTGATAAAAATATTAATGCTAGAACAATTTTTGTAGTGGAGATAATTAAAAAATCAATGAAAAAAATCTAAATTCCTATGCATGGTAGTAACCACTCGTGTGCAGCACTCCTATAAGTTAAGCGTGGGTTGTATTGCACCCTTAGTTCCCTCAACCTTGGATAAAAAGCTTCCAGTATACTTTTGTTTATATTTGGGCTTCATTAGTTACAGTGCTCTGAAATTGTACTTTTCTTCAATAAGTATCACAGTTTAAGGACAAATATGAAATGTTTGTATATGTGTGGATTTGTATTTAAATATATATATTCATAAGTTATATAATGGTAACAATCTCAATTTTAAAATTCAGAATTTTAGATAAATGAGTCTTCAGAAAAACATGTAACTTGGTGTCATGGTCAATTATGACCTTATAAGCTTCAAATGTATATATATAGAGAAAAAAGGTGAGTCCACAAAGGGTCTAAAATCATGTATAATTGTTTCATTTTATTTTCTAATACTATTCATAAACAAGTTTCAAATTTTCCAAGATACTCTTCCATGCTAAATATAAAGTCTATTATTTTTTCCACCATTTATTTATATGTTAACTCAAAATTCATTACAATTATGCCAACTTTCTATGACTTATCACATAATTTCAATACTGAATGACATTAATCTTGAATTACAGATGTCCCGATGGCTTTGTAAAAACCCCAGATGGACATAATTGCACTGATGCAGATGAATGTGTCTTTGGTCCTTGCTTTAATGGTGGAAGCTGTGTGGATCTACCAGCTGGAGAAGGTTACTACTGTTTATGCTCTGATGGATACATTGGTGTTAACTGTCAAATACTTGTGGAAGCCAATACCATTAAACTTAGCATGGGTGCCTTAGCAGCCATTTTGGTCTGCTTATTGTTCATTTTAGGTTAGCATTTTCTTTACTAATCTGCAAATGTTATTGGTTCTCAAGTCATTAGAAACTATATCTGTACATTTAACATTTATTTAACTTGATTCTTTACATGAAGATTTGTAATTTTAAATTGGAAATTTTCAATCTTGTTGAGATTTTTGTTTTGTCAGAGTTAGCCATAAATGATATAATGAGTTTGAAATCAAATTTTAAAATTGCTTGAACATTTTTTACTTTTGGGATATTAATTTTTAAACTAGAAACTACTAAAACTTGTCTTTCTAAAGAATTAACAAATATTCTGCTTTTTTCTTACTCTTGGTTCTAACATGTAGAACATGTTTATACACTTGGGAATTAAGAAGGGGAATGGTGTTAAGTTGACCCATGGTTTAATGGGAAGTTTCTTCTTTTAGTTTTAGTACTCATCATTGTGGTGTACAATAAGAATCATAAACCAAAAGAAAAAGTTAATTCATACATAAGAGATGACACCCGAGAGAACGTTGTCACTTACGCTGATGAGGGAGGAGGTGAGGAGGACATGATTGGCTTTAATAGGAACATATTGAAGGTTCCAGTTGACTCCAACAACACACCACCAGATGTCTCTCTTGTCACTGTGCCTCACATGATCCAAACACAGAAAGATAAAAAACAAAAAAAGGTAAAAAAACAGTGTTTCATAGAACAGTTTTTTTTCACTTTAAAATCATAACAGAGCACCCCAATGACTACTTTGTTATATGCAGCCTTATTTTTTTTGTAATGCCACCCAGTTAAAGTATTTTTTTCTATTAAGAGTAAGTGATAGCCACATTTCTTTCATATCAGATGTATATTTTTTGTAGAAACAATAAATATCTAATACAGTTTGGAAATTTACACCCTTTAAATAACAGTAAAAGCACCAAACACCACTGTGGGATTAAAGAAACATTCAGTGGTAGGCTGAAATATGTTCATCATGTCTAATGATAAGTGACAGCTTACCTATTGATGCATACCTTTAGTCGCATTCTTACTTTCTACTTTGAACTTTCGAAAGTCTGATCTTGACCGCCCCATTAACCTAAGAGATTTAGGTTCCTTTATCAGTCAAATACAAAGCACTATGTATAGTGAGTTCAACATAATCTAACTTCCATCTGCCAGATGTCATGCCCAAAAGTAGTAAAATACATTTGGGGCATACAGCTCCTTGATCATTTGAAGGTAAAATAAACATCCAACTATTAAAAATCTATTGTAAAATCTTGTGAGCTCAGGAAATATAATTGAGATTTAAATTATAAGGATACACCTGTTAAAGGTTTGTCATACAGTGTGTTCCATGTTAAAATTTCACTAGTTACTCTATATAAGTATTAAAGTTATTATAACAAGTTTTAGTAAGAGAAAAGATAAACTTTGAGTTTACATTATAATTTTATATGCCTGAAACTATGTTAGGGTTTCATATTTGGTGCTTTTGACATATCTACTTTTTTAAATCTAAGAAAATTATGAAGACAGCTAAAAACATTAAATACTTAGATTAGAGAACAAATATTGTTCAGTAAATTTTAATGGTAAATCACTAGAATTAAATATCTTAATTGTAAGGTTTTTAATGAAGTTTTCAAGAGCATTGTAGATGTTTAAATGTTTCTTTTTCAAGATTGTGAATTGTAAGAGTTGAAATATTTCTTTCTGATAAACACAGATCTACTGCCTAACATTTTTGAGAGGCACACACATCATTTAATGAGGATAGAAAATTTTTGAAGTGAAAATGAAAACCAAGTTGAATTTAAATTCCTGACTCTGCTTACCTTGCATATGTTTTAACCAACTAAAGCTACCAAATCTATCAGTACTGCCAATCTCAGTTTCACTTAAGTAAAGCCCAGAATCCATTTATTGTAATTTTTTTTACTGAAGTTTTCTAAATGCTGTGAAGTAATAGTTGAGATTACAAACATTCATAGACCCAGCATCTTAGTTAGTTGAAGTATTTCACTGATAAAAATAATCAGTGATTCAAACCCAAAGTGGTCTTAGTTTCACTTATGCAGAACATCTATACTCTCCGAGATACTTGTTGCTGTTTATGAAATAAGCAACCAATCTAACCATACACTTTATATTGTGTATCTTTAGTTTAAATTATGCAGTGAGTTCAACAGTAGTTTTAAATTTACAGATTAAATTAACAAGATTATATTTATTTAATTATACTGCCCCCCCTTCTCCATACCTTGTCAGATTTGGACCCGAATCCACATGAGACCCACATCACATATAAAGCTCAAAATTTAATCAACTATACATTATGAAAGATTATGAGCACAAAGAATTTTGTAATCAAACAATTCTACATTAGTGATATTCACATATATATTTATTACGTGAAGTTTACTATGACTTATGCCCTGTGTGATTGTTAAGAATATACCCATCTGTTTATTTGTTTCCGTAGTATATTGTAGAATGATATTATTCTTTTTCCTATTTAATACCAGTATTAAGAATAATGCTGTACTAGCATATATGAGATCATATAATACTGTTATGAATTTTTCATCAAATGTAATCTAACTACGTAGATCAGAACTTAATGAAGACAATCCTGTATAACAAACTGACTAAGAATACCTAATATCCAATACTGAAGTAAATTTATAATGATAATGATGATATTTCAATCATCATTTGGTTATGTAGCTTTACTGTTAATGATAAGTTCAGCCATAATTCAAAAAATTCATCAGAAGATTCAATTAGCTTAAGAAATTTAGGCTATTCGTAACTCCACACATAAGAGTAGTTATGATTCAACAATTTGATTCAAACTAATAAAATGTTTAACTGATACCAGAAAACAAAAACTTTCAAGATTTTTTTTTGTAATTTTAAAGTCATATTTCACTTGAGTGACATCTATTGGAAGAATCTGAAACACTATTAAGTATTACAAAATTAATTTCCCATATACAAATTGAATAAAATATCCTGCACTAGATTGTCAACATTTGTTGGTTTTTTTATTTAACAATATCATCAAAGGATTTCTATATTAAGTTTCACAAGCATAAAATATGTGTAATTAGTTAAATATTGTGTTTTTAATTTTGCCCATTTTATCTTTCTACTGCTTTTTTATTTTTGGTGTAGGTGAACTGAAGACATTATATGCTGTATGCCAAAAAAAGCTATAAAGTCTAAGAAAAACATTTACAATATAAAAACAAGTTTGACTGTTATATTCAAAACATTTTAAATCAAATATTCTTAAGTATATTAGTTGACACTCTCTCCTTTGAATTTTATGGAAGTTTTGGAATTTCTATTTGTTTAAATATGTTTTAATATGGTTTTTATGGTCATTCTCTATAAACTGGACTGCACTATTTTGGAGTTTATAATTAGTTTTACAAGAGATTGCATTAAATGTTCCACTAGTTGCTCTTAGGAAACTTAAAAAATCTTTAAACAGCACGTTTATTTCAGTGATATTTCCACATTAAAAATTTAATTTATGGTGCACCTATCATGTACGTGTCACTAATAAAGAATTATATTATATCATATTGAATTATATTATGTGAAAATCATTAATAAAATGTAAGTAGCCTTTCTTTTACCTTTAGTTTTTTCCTTTGAAATACTTTTCAAATTCATTTAAGTAAAATATGTTATTTTGTTTAGAACAACTACCACCAGTTCGTAATGGCGAATATCCTTTCTCAGTAGAAGAAGAATTATCTGATAGACTCCAAAAGGCAGACATGGATCCTAGTGGTCCACCGTATGATGATCTAAGGAACTATGCGTACGAAGGAAGTACGAGTTCTGCTGGCTCATTGAGCTCTCTAGCCTCCACTGTTGAGGACAATGAACAAGATTTTGATTATCTTACAGACTGGGGACCACGATTTTCCAAATTAGCCGACATGTATGGACAAGGAGAATGTGATGAATAATAATGTGTACATCTCTAATATATACGTTTTAATTCAGTTTTAGTTTGGGTTCCAGTCAGTGCCATTTAATAAGTGTATTTTGTCATCCTTCTCCACAAGTTGCTTTAAAGAAGAAGCTATTCAAGGTGATATTCTGTTCTTGTAAATCATCTCATGACTTTTTTTGTAGAATAAGATTCATTAGTATTTAACAATGTTTCCACAAAGATGAAATTTTCTACAAACTGCAGTGCAATAAAAAAAGGTGTTTTAGTGAACTTCAAAGTTTATGTAGGTTTTTTGTTATCTAAACTTTGAGTAGTTACTAAAGTCCAGAGTCAGTTAATTTATAAAAGTTTCCTCTTAGTTACTGAGTGTTTTCAACAGGCATGAAGTTAGCTTTAAAATTTTGTAAATAATACCAAATTCTTAGATGATCTTGCAAAATGCATGCTCTGTTTACACAAATTTTTGTTTATTGTATCTGGGATGATGTTACTTCAAAGAAAAGTTTTAAAATGTTAAAACTTGACTAAACAAAGTGGTGTAAAGTTTAAAGTGCTCAAAGTTTGCTGCTTGCATTTATGTGTATTATTACATGTAGCAAGGGAATTCTTATATTAAGTTTATTTATCATTATATCATTTATATACGATGCAATCAACTGTTTCATTAAAGAGAAACTTACTGTTGTAAAATAAAAAAAATTATAATGACTTTGAAATTCTTTTAATTTTAAAATAGAAAATTTATGTTTTGAATGCCAATACTAAATTCACATCTTTTTAATGGATATTTCACATATTCTATATTAAAATGTATTACTGCAGAAATTAGTTTCTTTAGTTTTTTCATGAAATGAAGATTCCAAGCTTCTATATTTTGTTTTTTTTCATATAGAAATTCCTATTTCGCAAAAGGGGAAAATATCTTACATT